GGGGGGGGGGGGGGGGGAAGGCGCAGGAGGGAGAGGTTGGAGGAGTGCCGCCCTCGAACGCGAAATTTATTTAAACGCTCGAACCACTCTCCCGCGATCGAATTAAATTACACTCCGTGTTGTGTTGCAAACGATCGAATATTCTCTCGACGTATCGGGAAATACTTCCCGGCGCAGATCTCTTCTTTCGCCGCGTCGCGCCGTTAATCGTACGACCGCGTTATGTGACTTTTCGGGAATCGCTGAGATCAGGTCCGGAAGTATCACGCACCAGAATCGATATAGACAGCGATTATAGCGGTTTGATGGCCATCCTGTCCGAATAATAGATGGCGATTCGTGATACCACTTAATTGCTATTTAATCGTGCGCTATTAATAATCGCGTCGAATGAACGAGAGACGGTCGTCGGTGGAGCGTAACGTTTCCATTTGGAGCTTTTAGCTCGGTACGCGAGCGTTTTCGTATTTTTTTTGTTTTTAAGAATCGCTGAAACGAGCGACCTATTTGTACGCACACTGTGTGCGACATAGTTTTGAAATAGAACGGCAAATTACACGGATTCGAGTATTCCCTCGTATATTTTTCTTCGTATGTCGGACAGTTGACTGAAAAAGTGCAAGATAATTGTACGTAATATAATTGATGATGTCTATGTATAAACAGGGTCAGCAAGGTAGATTCGCCGGTAAACCGTATTAACCTCTTTCCGTTCCTCTCGTTTGCTCTGAGAGCAATCTTCGCCGATCCAGTCGGCAAGGCTAGTCGTGCGAGAGACATTTTCGCACGCATCAAACGTGAAAATAGCGAAAAGAAAAGACTGAAGACAAAGAGAGGCGTTCGCTCGATCCGACTTCCGTCACGTTTCTTTTAAACGTCACGACGAAGGAACGCCTCGGTTATCGCGGGGGAAGAAGCAAGTCTATTACACCTCGCGTTACTCATCCGGGCTTAATAAAAAGAAGCACACCGGAACCAGCAGCACGGGACACACTCGGAATCGAATGTCCCGGGACACTCGATCGGTGCTCGAAGGGGCTCAACGAGGAGGGTCCTCCTCTTCTTCCTTCTTCTTCGTCTCCTCTTCCTCCTACACGACCTTCTTCTCGCTGGCCCGAGTCTTACGAGAGAGGAAGACGTTCGTCCCAAGCGGAGCGCAGTTCCCGAAGAAGCTTGGGATCGATCCTCGAAATCCCGGAACGCACGAGGGAAACGTCTCGCTGGGCGAAAGACAGGGGGAGGAAAAGAGAGAGAAAGAGGAAGCACCAAGGCAGCCCCCGACTCGCGTTTCGAGACCAATATCCCCCGCCGTCCTTGGAGGCTACCCCCCGCGAGTGTCTCTCGTCTCATCCGTTTGCGATCCCGCGGTACATACCCACATATACATACATGTATACATATTTCCGGGACCGACAATCTACGCGCCATGAATATCTCGAGGCGGCGCGATCGCCCTTCGACGAACGGCCGCGAGATAAATCGACGAGACGCGGGGAACGTCGCGGTGACGAAGCGTCGTCGTGGGAATCGCGATACTCGCGATTGCGCGGGGCTCTTAGTTCTCGCGCGGATTTGTCTCGCTTTAATATTAACGGCCGTCAAACGGGCTCGCGATTCGGAGGCGTTGCGACTCGCGTGCGTTTATTCCCTCGATCCCCAAGCATAATATCTCGACTTAAATAACAAAGAAAACACACCGAGTATAGTTAATTACTAAAATGTACGTCTCGAAACGCCCGGAAATAAAGAAATGCGTCATCACTAATGCCGGATATTGTGTATCGACATTGTGTATCGTCACTGTGTAACGGCGAGCTAAATAAACGATTCCGTAAGTAATCGCTAGAAATCGCCACCCGATAGCGAATATGTTATAAGGGGGATGATGCCTGCAAAGACCGTGATACCAGCTTCTCCTCTATTTACTCGCATTTGGAGCCGGCGGAAGATAATACACAACGGCAGTGACGTGTGCAAAGTTCCCCCGCGGCGTCCGAGGCTTTCTCCCCGTCGATCTCTCGCGAATCGCGACGAAACGACTGACAAGACTCGATCGTACGTACATTCGTACGTTCGTTCGCTCGTTCACGTCGACACCCGCAATTTCCCTTTGCCGTCGTAAATCCGCCGCGACGAATCGACGTCGCAATCGGTCGAGATTGCCGGCGCCGTAAAATATGAAACGCGAACGCGCGTTGACGGATGAAGCGCGGGACCAAGGTGACGGCGACGAGCCTCCCCTCTCCGGCGGATGCCGCGGCGGGGGGGGGAGGGACGGAGTGCGCCGGAAATCGTGCACCGCATGCCTTGTTCTTTTGCATGATGCGAGAAATCACATCGGAGAACCGGCGGATCGCCGGCACCCGCGTGCATGTATTTACTGGCCTGTTTTTTGCCTCGAGTGTGTAGCCTGTTAGTATTTGTCTAGCGCCTACTACGACTCTGTCTACTCTCTGTACTCGACTCACTATACTCTTCCCCCTCGTCCCCTTCATCCGGTCCTCAGCGTCGCCGGACGACTCGCCGGATAGCACCGTCCTTATTATCGGTGCCGGTCCGACGGTGAGTCGCTCGCACGAGCGATTAAGGTGAATCCGTGATGATCGATTCCCGACGAATACGCGAATTCGTCGTTAATGGCCACGTTTCCGCACACCGCATTCGACGGTGAAACGCTACGCGAGAATCCCCGCTGTGTTTTTGTTTACGCTGAGAGAAAAAGTATTACCGTTCGAGGAAATATTTGCCGAGGGATATCGGAGTAATTATTTCACTCGGATTAAGTAAATATCACTTGAATGTGGAGCTTTTTTCTTTTTCTTTCAGTGTACCGCCGTTCAAGTAATATTTACTTGGTCCGAGTAAAGCAATTACTCCAATAATCCTTAGCAAATATTTACTCGAATATGGCACTTTTGCTTCTTCTTCACTTACACGTTCCCCTTGGAAACAAATGGTCTGTTCTTTTTAGCTGAACTGGCTGCTTTCACTGGTTCAAGGAATTTTTACACACACCGAAGCGTGAGAATCTCTCGCACGTACGCTTCATACGCTTTAAAGTGTACGTAAATTCCTCGGGTTCCAGCGTTCAGCCAGCTCAGCTGAAAAGAAATCCAGGCCGGAAGGATCGAGACACACGTGAAACCAGTTCGAGGATTTCATTGCGATCACGCGTTCGATTCTTACCGTTCGATCGTCCAACGAGCGACAAGTGGCGGATGAATTTGCATTCGGGATGTACGCGCGCAATGTCTCCGTACTCGTCTCATGCCGTTTGCACGCGTGAATTCGTCAAGATTTCGCGGTGGGAAATTCACCGTTTACTTCCACTTACGAGCGTAAAAGACGCGAGACATTCGATCGAGATGTGTGACGGTCGGGAGAAAAAATACGCAATTAAGAACGAGAGGGTGACATCGGGGGGGGTGGAAATGGCACGCACGGGGCGCGGGCAATTTATTCGGGTCTCCATTACGTTTGCGAACGATCGACGCGGAACAGAAGGTTAACCCTCCTGGTCGGCGTCCCGCGACGATCCCCACGAGAATCCTCCCGAAATCTCTTAAGAACGAAATCACGCTCGATGGGCACCGCCGTGTCGCCCCGGGGATAATTTCTCGCGCAGCGCCCCCGAGATGCCCCCGGATCCCTCTCCTCGGCTCCGAATGGGAGTTTCAGCTTTCGCGAAGTTCTCGTAGCTGAAAGTACCTTCTCGAGAGAAGAGGCGAGGTCGTCCGTCGATTTCGATTACCGGCCGGTTCGTTTAGCCTCGCCTTCCAGCCAGCTTTTTTTTATTTCGAATCGCCGTATACCCGTCGTACCCGCTCGGCGAATGAGAAAATACGCCGAGAGGATGTCGCCGCGAGGACGCTCAGCAGGAGCAAAGCGATATTTGTGGATAACGCGCTCTGAGTAATTTACCGTCGGCTAACTGCGCCGCTTTGATGCGGCCGTGATGCTGAGAGAACGTGAAAAGTAAAGGGATAAAAATATTCTCCGTTGAAGAATTTTTTCGCCCGATTTTTTGACTCGAGGTATCTTAAATACGGGGACTTTTTTTTTGCCAAACGCAATACGATATCAAAGAAAGTAGTAAAGTGGTAAATTTCGCTGGGAAAAATATATGTTATTTGCGATGCGTATATTTAATATAATTATATATCATCTCTGTTCTAGTATACGTGTTGTATATTTAACATACTTGGAATAACGAAACACTTTTTACACCCGAGAGGAACGGCAAATCGATTTTGCAGCTTATTATGAACGCATCATTATGCGGACGAGAGCGCGTTCGAAACAACCGGAATGCCGATCAAGATATCAAAAGCGCGAGCGTTGGGAGCGGGTCTCGATAAAGCGTGGAATTTTTCAATCGACAGTTAAAAAGAGCCGCCGATTGCCAGTTAATTTAACTGCCTATTTACAGACGCTTCGTGCCGCCGTTGCAAACATATTCGCATTTGTTATTTATTTCGAGAGCAATCGGACGGTGCTCCCGCGCAACAAAGCATTGTTCGTTATTTTGCGTACAACGTGATCTAATTTTTTTGTATTTTCTCGCCTATAATTATCATTTTTGCGACTTACCGCGTAAATATTATATATCACATATCAGGTTTGCCAAACCTCAAATACAAGACAATAAGACGAAGACAATCCGAGCTTCATCGCGCCTTTTTCCTCTGCAAAATTCTTTACAAATTTATCTGTATGAAAAATATCAAGAAATCAATCATTTTCAATAATACAATCGCATCTGCAAATAAAACAGTTTCACCGGTCGAATTAAATACTCGATCTCGAATGTCCAACGTTAACGCAGCCTCCCATTGATCTGCTGCGCCAAACAAGACTGATCTCCGTAAGTACCGACCGAATGCATCCGTGCTGCTAATTCGAGCATTCTCAACTTATCTCGCGGGAAGTTACGCGAGAACGCGTCTTTCCGCAATTTTCCCGGGCAAGCCATCGCCCTTCCGCAATCGTCCACGACGATCGAGCCGCGCGATTATTTATCCCCAGCAGGCGCAGAAGCTGGCGCGAGCCAAGCAGCGACGTCAACCTTCCTGGGCCGAAATCTCCTCTTCGCGATGATCCCCTCCGTCAGCGTCCGGTTATACCCTTGCACCGCAAACCACCTTCACTATCACCACCACCACTACTACCATCGTCACCACTATCACCACTACCATCGCCACTACCCGTCACGACACTCGACCGCAGAACAACAGCACGCATACCCCCGCACGTTGCGTACCGGATGGCGAACGCGCACCCTCACTCACCCCATTCTCGTCCGCGGCTCTGCTTCTGTGTTACAGAGTTCCTGCCCTCCTCCACCTCCGTAGACCTGTCGGGCACGGACTCGGCCCTGTACCCGTTCGACCCGCAGCAGGAGAACTACCAGGAGATCTGGTTGCCGCCGACCAGTATGTACCCCTATTTTCTGTTCCCCGGGACCGCGCGCACCCCGCCGTACTACGACCCCGAGAGCACGTACGACATTCGGGAGCCCGGCGAGCAACACCGCCACCGGCACGGCCATCGGCATCATCACGGCCAGCAGGAGGCGCCAGAACTGCCTGGCAGACCGGCCGTCCTCGTCGTCGAGGCGTACGATCCTCGGCCCGATTCGGATCGGTACGACACCGGGGTGAATCGGTTCGAGGATCGCGCGGCGACCTCGCGTCCAGCCGCTAATCACCCGGATCGCTCGACGGATGGATCTTCTTCTTCCTCCTTCTCCTTCTCTTCTTCCTCCTCTTCTTCTTCTTCTTCTTCGTCTTCGTTGTCCAAGCATGATCGCGCCTCCAGCACAGCGCACCTGCCGCCCCAAAGCGAGCATGACGCACACCCGCACCAGTATCGGCACCACCATCACCAACAGCACCAGCACCATCGTCAGCACCCCGCACTACCCGCACCGCCGTCCGTCGTCGCGACGCTGTCGTCGTCGTCGGCGGGCTCGTACGGGCCGGCGGCCGCTCGTCCGACGCCTACCGCGCAGGACCAGCCGCTGGGGCCCGGCCACGCCGAGGCACCCCGGCTGCCGGCGCAGAGGAAGTTCGCGCCCAGGCCGACCTACGAGCACCGCGCGATCTTCGACCGCGCCGACGACGACCTCGACGACCTCGACGAGTTCAGGATCGGCGCGCTGCCCGTCGACAGGCTCTTCGACCTCCGCGAGGCCTTCGAAGGGTTCGTCGACCAAGGTTCGTAACGGCCCCAGGGTCTCTCGGAGGATCGCCGGACCCCCCCCCCCCCCCCCCCCCCCCCC